CTAGTAGACAGTATACCTCTAGAAGATTAGTATATCGTTAATCGCGAAGAGCCGGCGCACTACGAGTACGAATAGCGCTAGAATAACCCCTTCTACGGCTATACTACGTATACTACTCGTTAGTATAAGTATACGGTATTATAAAGGAACGAGAGAGAAGCTAACTATTTAATAGGGGACTCTATATACGTAGACACTACCGAAAGCACCTATTTATCGCCGACTACTCCTCCGCGCCTCCTTTATAATTATACTCTCGAATACTATTAATCTAGTATAGACCTACTCCTAATTATATAACGACCTTTAGCTTACTTCTAAATTACTCCTTCTTCCTTTCTTTAATATTGTAAAAAGCTTATAAAATAATATATTATTAAATCTACTAAAAGATAGTCTATATATGCCCTAGATAGTGCCTATACGTAACTTCTAAGCCCTTTAGTCGGAGGAATTAATAGCTAAGCCTTCCTATAGGTGCTATGCTTAGCCGCGGCGCCAACACCTCGATTTAGTGTAGGACACTGCAATTAGCGGTGCCGGAAGTACTAATATTATGCACCTTCTAGGGCTCCGGACGCTAACTTTCACTCCGATATGCGTTGACGCTGTACTCGCACTTCAAAACTCCGGCAGCGACACGTTGAAGACATGCATGTCGGCCACACCATACGATACCCGTAAACTGCCCGACCCCGTTTCACACTTTTACTTGCCTGTCGGAATCCGCATGCATCATACAACAGTGCAACACACGAGCCCTGTTGTGCTTGCTGTGCGGGGAACAGAGGAGGGAGACTGAGTTACATGTAGTCTTCCAAGGGTGTCGAACGCCTTGAGCATCGCGAGACAACACACCACATAATTGGCAATGCTCGATGGCAACTTACGCAATGCAGACAAGGAGCCGTCTAGGGACTTGTGTCCCGTGTGTGTGTCCCTTCTGTATTCCTTGCTGGCCCTAGAGTCGTACAAATTATTCGACCAGAGTGTCTTGAGCTTAAGCTGCACATACGACATCCTCAAAGCCTTCAAGAACATGTGAAAGAATCCTTTTTGAGCCGTGAAGACTGTTTCATCATCACAAGAACCTCGTTCGTGAGCACACACTTGAAGACGTTGTTGGGTCTCATTGTTTTAGTGGACTGTGAACAGATGCTCTGCCAGGATGGCTGGTCTGCTTCTAGTGCGCCGCTGCGCTGCCGCTGTCTCCATTCAGACCCTGCCAAGACCGCCGGAGGCAATCTTGCTCCGCTGGAGCATTGGCTTTGCCAAGAGTCACGTGTGGAGCGGCTGATTGGAGACAGCGCTGCCGAGCGTCGTGGAGCCGCTTTGTAGGCTGTCCTTATAATGAGGCAGAACCCAAGCCTCCGCACTGCCACAGCGGGTCACCTACGGCAATGTCCGAGCGATGCGCCGCACCACCAGCCGCTATACTAATTTGTTAGCAAAGCGTGGAATTCAACATTCTGCATTCATTTCCATCGATGCACTACATTGTCGTCGCATTTTAAAGCTAAAGTTAACGTGTAGAAGTGCTATACTATCAAATCTAAGGTGTTGTTAGTTGTTGCGGCCTAAGGCAGCTGCTACCGGGCGCAATTTGCTTAATACACTAAATTTGCTAAGTTTCGCTATGTCCGCCGGGCGTAATTTGCCTCTCCTACTACTATACCGCTATTAGTGTCTTGCCCGCTTATTTAGACTATTAGAAGGTAACTAAGGTATACGAGATAGAGTATCTTGCTAAGTGTATCGCATAACCTCGAATTCCTCTTTTGCTAGACTACTACCGCCTACCTATATAGGTACCGGCGCTTGTCTTAGAGCTACTAACTACGACAGTTAAATGCCTTGCTCGGTATAATAACTGCTAGCAACGTAGCCTTCGGACAAAGGCCCTTATCTAAGTCGTATCTGCTAAGGGAGCGTAATATTGCGACCGCGTTCCTTTGCATCCTTAATTAGCTACGAAATAGCGTAATTTAGGTAAGGGTTTAACGCCTTCGAGATGCGCTTAAACTATAGGTTTATAACGGTATCCTTAACCTACGGCTCTTCCTCGTTTAGCGCCTCGTCGTCTTCTAGGTTATAGTACTGCTTACGTAGGTAGAATAGCCGCTCCTTTATTGTCGCCGTACGCTTATATATACTACTAACTGCTAGCTCTTGCTCTTCTGCGGCGGAAGACTTATTAGCAATAAGGACCTTCTCTATACTGTAATACAGCTTAAAGCCATTATCTCGCTAAAGCGACGTCTAGGCGTTAAAATCGTCGTCGGTAAGGTCGTCGATAAGCAGGTAGCGCGCCTATAGGTGTCGGCATAGAATGTGCTATTTGTAGTAGAACTAGCAGTCGCACTCGTTATCGGCGACCTTAGAGGTGTCGCTGCGCTATCGAAGGTTACCGTTGAACGCGTTATTAGTACTAGCATTAATCTCGGGCACAATTAAGTCGCAGGCGGCATACGGAAGTAAGGCTATCTATCGATAAGTTGTCGCATATAGATAAAGCGAATGCGCGTGTTTCTACGCTATAACGGCGGCGCGTCGATCGAGTGCGTTAATAACCGAGTCTAAGTAAATAATACTGCCCTTTAAAGAATAGTAATTTATCTGTTATTTAACGCCGCCGCGCTTTAGCAAACTGTAGAAGTTCTCGAGGTTGCTAGTCGTCCGGATTTAAAGAAGAATAGGCGAGTAGCTACGAGGAAAATGAGCCTATAATCGCCTATCGTTATATATCGTAACTTCGATGTATTTAAGCCGTTTATCCTTCTCCTTCTTCGGCAAGTCTATAGCTTCTAGAAGGTCTATAGCGCGCTTAAGACTGTCGATACAACTACCCTCGGTATGTCGGTATTTAAGCGCTTTTAGCAGGTTGTTAAGCACTCTCGTAAATTTCCTGCCTTTTTAGTATTTATTAAGTGACTTCTCGTAGTAGAATTAGCATAGGAAATGGTCTACCTCTTGCTTACCGGCTTCTAACCCTCGGAAAGCCAACTAGACTACTAGCTGTTCCGTACCGCTATCGTCGGTTACAAAGTACCTTAGTTCCCACTTTTTTCGCCGATTTTAATACTATTCCTTTATTTGCTTAAAGGCCTCTACAATTATTATACCGTCTTCTCTTAGCGAGTAAAAATAGGCGCAAACTCGGTATGTATTCGAAGAATCTCGGACTATAATAGAGAAGAGTTTCTATTCGAGGGAATTCGTTTTGTGCGTAGAATCGACGATTGAAACCTACCCAAATTTATATAGGAGGTCTAGACCCGATTCTTTAGCAAATACGAGGGCGCGAGAAGGATTGCCGTTAGCAGCTTTCTCAATATCGATGTATTAGTAATAATAATAGTCTATAAACAAAGAAATCAGTTATTTTGAAAATGAGGTATCGCGCTAAGAATAGGTCGCAGCCTAATTAGAAGCCGCGAATTGCGGAGATCGGAGGTACGCCGGGCTTTCCGGTGCTTGCTAATTTAGTTAAGCTTGTAAAGATAACGTGTAATTAGTAACGCTACCTGCCGGATTAGGCATATTATAGGGCTATACTATTGATTAAGTTTTCTAAGCGAGGGATATAGGCAGGTACGAGAAATTCGACTTACTTCTTTCTAACTACTCTCTCGCTTCTTCTACCTGCAAACTCCTACTTAAATCGTTACTACGATATCGTAGATTTGGATTTGCCTTTAACCAACTACGCGCTACGTTATATACGGTCTAGATATTGAATTTAGCCCCGCTAGTAGCAAGAAGCCGCCTACTTCTACCTTCGAGATTGTCGCTAGTAATTAGCTATCGAATAGCAGCCGTTGAGTGCCCTCTCTAAACCTCGGCTCCTGCTAACTTTAGAAGGAATGTAGGTGTCTTCCGCTAGTTAGCAACCTTAATAGTATAGTTATATAGCAATAGATTCTTCTTGTCTTTAAATACCTTATAACGTAGAGGCCGTACGCGGTATAGTCTTCCCTTATAATTACTTATTAGTTGCGTACTAGGCTAACCTTCTTCTACCTCCTCGTAATAGGCATAAACGTTAAGTATAGCCGGATAGCGCAAAGTCGCTGTTATATTGCGCTTCCGCCTCTTTAATAGATTATTAGTCGTCTTGTTTATTATAAGATCGCGCCGACGACTACACCGATAGATAAACCTGTATTTACGCCGCTTCTTCTAAGGCGTATAATACCTATAGCCGTTACTAACCTATACGTTGTCGATAAAGGGCTAATAAGTCGCCTTCTCTTCCGGCGTTATAATAAAGGCTTCTGCTAACGGCTAGAATAGCTTCTGTCGCTATTCTTCTAGGTTTGGCGGCAACTTAAGCGATATAGACTCGCTATTAAAATAGAGTCCGCTCTAATTAGTCTTAAACTTATTAAATCTATCTCTACCCTTTCCGCGCGCCGGCGGTCTATTATCCTTACTATTAGTCTTACTACCGAGCGCTTTACCGCCGAGCGCTTTACTACCGAGCGCTTTACCGCCGAGCGCTTTACTACCGAGCGCTTTACTACCGAGCGCTTTACTACCGAGCGCTTTACTACCGAGCGCTTTACTACTAAGCGCTTCGCTACCTTCTTTACTACCTTCTTTACTACCTTCTTTATTACCGAGCGCTTTACCGCTAAATCTAGCATCACTAAGCAACTAATTATTATCAAAGTTAAGGTTATATTAGTTATATAGCAACTAGTTATTAATCGAGGTCTCGTCGACCGGTATAGGCACTATATTACTAGCAATCTCCGCCTATAGAGCGGCTATTTAGGCGGCGGTAAGGAGGCCCTCGGCGGCGTCTATTGTCGCGATACGAAGGTCGAGAAAGAGCACGAATTTAGTAGGTTTCGAGGGATATTGCGACGACTAAATCGGCCAAGCGGACGAGCGAGAGGGCGGCGGAGGGCGGCGGCGACGGTGAGGTAGCGACAGCGAGGTCTATAAGAGAAGGAATCTACAACACCTACTAGCGGGACAACAATGGCTAACTGCATCTAATTAGGTATAGAAATTGGTGGGTGGCTATGCACCTTGGCAAACCTAGCCCCACCCGGTGTGGCTTGGGTTCTGCCTCATTATAAGGACAGCCGCTTTGTAGCCTGGTCGACGCTGTGATTCGTAGTCTCGTCTATGAAAATCGTATGAAGCATGGTGCTCTACGTGAACGCGGCTGCATGAAGACTCGCGCTGTTCGAGACGAGAATGTTCGGCCAACAAGATCCAGCTCGTTTGGGCACAAATGCAGAAGTGTGTTTGCAGGCTCAAACCAATCTGCATAGCCGTGGTCGGAGCCGTGCATATCTTCTGATACTGCGTGGTAGAGGAAGAGTATGGCTCTGTCCATGCAACGGTATCACGTCTCAGCACGACTTCATGCCGTGCTGTTCGAATATACTAGAGTGCCGTACAGGAAGGCCATGCAAGTGTCGAGCCGGTCCATATTGTGGCTTGAAGCTGTCCAGTCCACTCGCCTGCATATCTGCAAGAGCTGCAAGAGCCGGACACTGCAAAAGTCGCATAGTCTTGCTTTGACGTGCAGAAGCGCCGCATTCATGTCAAGACATCCGCATATCCCACCAGTCATGTGGAAGAGAAAGACGGCACGCGGCAAGAGACACAGCAGAGGATTCCACCAACCACGGCGGATGCTTTGCATGTATGTAGAAACTTGGCAAAAGGGCCATTTTGAAACACATGTCAGTCGTTTGACGTCTCGCAAAAGAACGTATGTAGGTCGCAGCATGCGACTTTCCAGCAGGAAGATTGTGACCAGATCTCCGAGCTCCGCAAAGCAGCGTGTTGTGTAAGAAAAACGCCTTGTGCCGCTGCGCTGGATACTGACGCAAGAAAATCCAACAAGATGCGATAATACCCATTGTTATGCCAGGCACAGGCCAGGCCCACGTTCAGGGTAGGAGATGTCATGGCGACCCGAAGATCGTCAAGCAATTAATCAAACCCACGTTCTGCGATGCCTTGTCTTGCCTTGTCCTTTCTCGTGCACATCGGGAATCGGGATGCAGCGGACACATCACATTGCAGCCGAGCCAGACTTCACGTCTCCATTTTGATATTGTTTTGGGGCTCCTTGATGTCACACGTGACACAGCCCTTCTCAACTGCGTTGCTACGAGATTCGTACACCGACGTATCGCATCGCATCTGACCCAAAGGCACTTCTCACATGGACATGTCCTGCGCAGTGCTACTGTACCTCCACGCGCCATTGGAACGGGGAGCGACCTCGACACCCCGCGCTGCTTGCCTTTTCGAACGCGAGTGTAACTTCTTGTTCACGGGGCGGGCGACCTCTGGTGCTACCTCCATTCAGGCGCCCCGCTTTGTAGGCTTGCATGGACCTTCCACCCAAATTTACTACCTTCCACCTTCTACCTTCCACCTTCTACTCTGTCTCTATATCCTTACATCATCTCTCCGCTAAGTACACTAATATATATCTGGCTTAGCGGTCCATGCTGAGCCTATAGCGAAGCGCCTAAGACTAACCCGTTCGGCCCTTATATAACCTGCCGTATTAGAATTGAACAATCGCATATAGTGCACCAGTTCTACGCTAGATATCGACTAACCTAGAAAAAGGGTCCTGCGTAATAATACGATCTATCAAATTGTCTATATAAAGTATCTACCAAAATGCGAAATACGTGCTTAATTCTTAGTATACTAAGATAACCTTACGCACGCTCTATTTATTCTACCCTACCTTATACTATATATATACAAACGAAGTATCTAACAAGCTACAAAGGGCACGCGGAGCCTAAGAAATACTACCGCTACAATCTCCCGTATTTAGAATGTCTATATTATTAATACGTTGCCTCCGTTTTACTACCTAGGGCTAATAGCCTTTGTAGCCCTCTCCGTTTGCTTTTTACCCTTCCTATATACCAATTCACTTAGCATACGCGCGTTTGTCTCGTAAAAGCCGGGAGTCGGTCCGCTAGCCGTTTCTAGGTTAATCTATAGTATTTGAAAGTCGATCTTACTACCGCCGGCGTCGCAACTTCGTTACTAAACATCAACTTCTAAACTCTAACCTTAAACTCCGCGCTAACATTAAGGACTCGCGCTTTAAACACTCGCCGTCGTTTTTTATTATTGCTACTGCCCTTCGTATATTACGCTTCTACCTTATTGCCGCCGCCGCCTTGCTATTTCTAACCTCGATCTCGCCGTACCGCTAACAACCGACTCGGTTTAGCCTAGTATGCCGCTTAAGAAGCTTAGTAGAAAGCAGCAGAATGCCGTAAATACGTAGAAGAAGCGAGATAAGAACTAGAAGCGTACTGCTCGACGCGCTCGTACTAATAGTTAATAATAGCAATTCCCGACCGAATTGCTAGGTCGCGCTATAGTAAGTCGCGAGCGCCTAGATTTTAGCTATCTACTAGAGATCTAGTAGCTAGCGAATAAGTCCGAATATAAAGCATTCTTCTAGGATAGATGCCGCTAAATTAATAATGCCGACAATCTACTTAGCCTCGAAGAGATCCGCCGACTAGTATACGATGCAGTAGCCTGTCTAGAAGCTGTAGAAGTACACCGCGATATCTGTTCGGAAGGTCTACGTAAGATTCTTAGCCTGCTTTATCCTAGGAAGGAATACACTCCGAGGCCTATTTAGATTGATAGAGTCTACGCTATTATATTTAGCGGCAACGATCTGCTATAGATCTCGAAGACAGGCGAAGGCAAGACGCTAATATTCCTTTCCTTTACGCTATTAATAGGTATGCTATTTAATGCTAGTTCGATTGCTATTGCTATTAGTACTAACTTGCCTAGGTCTAATAACCCTCTAATTTATACCGCTAAATCGTCTCGGCGAGGAACAAGCTAATAGTATTACTAACATCGCAAAGGAGCTAGAAGTCTTGCTAAATGCTGTTAATATTACCTCCGAGACGAGAAGCGTCGATCCTAATCTGTTTAAGTATATTCTCGATAGCAAATATTATTATATTATCCTAAGTCTAGAGATAGGTGCTAGTCCGGAGTTCCGTAAGCTTCTACGAGATCTAAAGGTACGCGCTCGAGTCGGTATGTACGATAATCGCCGTCGTGTCTTACGAGCTTTAGCTAACAAATTGCAGGTCTAGTTATAATCGATAAGGTATACCTAGTAAACAAGTAGCGTAACTTCCGTAAGGAATACGCTTAAATCTATGCTCTACGCAAGCTCCTCCGAACCGATACAGTATAGCTTAGCTGCTCTACTACAATGTCCGAGGAGACTAAAGAGTTCGTACTTAAGTATAGCGGCTTTCGAGAGGTAGGTAACGGGCTATATTAGACTAAGATCCTCCGTAGTAGTGTCGACCGCCTAGATACTATATACATTCTACGTACTATTCCGAAGAACTAGCTAAGCTTATACGACTATCTGTACTTTACTATTAAGGGTACTTTCGATCCTAATACGAAGGAGGCGATACCCGAGAAGATTAAGAAGGCGCTACTATTTATCGACGGCCGGAAGTATATCTAGGATCTAGCTAATATTATCCGCTACTAGCTTACTGCTACTACCGCTAATTGCTAAGATCCGAAGAAGCGATATACCTAGGACAACAAGGGTATTAACGTTTATACCACTATTACGTTTTATACTAGCAGTGTCGCTAAGCGTAACTAGAAGCGTCGATACAACTAGTACTGCAAGACAGCCGACTATTTAGAAGGATCTTCGAAGTATCGTATTATAATCGCTACTATAGTATTTAGCGTCGGCTTAAATGTTCTAGATATCGAGATTGTCGCGTAGGTTAAGTTCCCTATTATACGCGATATCGAGGATGTAATGCAGCGTCTTAGTCGTATCGGCCGTGCGATTGTTAGCAGTCTAGCCTTTATCTTCCTCTTATACTACATCGACGATAGTATAAAGAATATCCGCCTAGGAACTAACTATACCGCGATTAACGTTACTCGCCGTGCTCGTCGTAACTCGTATACGCTATTTCGCCTATCTAGACTCCGCTAATCTAAGCTACCGGGCGAGGATGCTAGTACAGCCGGTACGTAAGAAGTCGGTAATCCGTTTAATAGTAACGATAAGGAAGAGAATCCTATATACTAGACTAAATCGGAAATCGATATACGAGAGAAGATCCCTCGTATCTAGTTCGAGGTCTAGAACGATTACTACCGAGAGCAGTATAGTGTGTGTCCTCGTAAAGTCGTCCTCCGGTATCTTAGTAAGGGCAAGGCACTATACACCTAAGACCCGCCTAATAAAGATGCCTACTACAATATCTGTAACCCAGAACTTAACCTCGTATATATCGATTTACCTCTAGAAGCCGCGATACCTCCGAAGTTTAAAGCACTAAAGTCTAATACCCGACTAGGTATTACGTTTAAGATGCTATAGGCGTAGACCTCTACTAAAGTCGTTAACGACCGGTATCTAGGCTAGGAAGATAGAACTATGTTCGACTTCCCTTCGTCTCGTATTATTAATAATCGTATACTATATAGCATTACTAATGTCTTTACCGCGACTAACTTAGCAGACAATTAGAATACCGTATAGGGTATTAACGTTAATAAAGACCTTATCGAGAAGAAGGCATCCGAGTTTAAGGAGTAGTACGATTCTATCGACAACGGACAGCGGCCTTTTAGATTGTATAAGTTACTAAATGAACTTAAGCGTATTAGTCCGGAGGTCTTTAAGCAGTAGCGCGAGGATATCGATATAAAGAAGAAGCGTATAGAGGACCGAAAGAAAGCTATAGAAACCGCCGCTGTAATAGTAGAAGCAGAAGCCTAAGCTGCCCGAGATGCTTTATTATAAGGCACCGCTACCGCGAGTAGATCTGTATTGCCGACGGCGCTACCGCTTACTAATGTCTAGCGACAAGCGCAACTTAACGCCCTAAGGAATAGTCTTACTTAGTCCGGTCGTATATAGGCCGATCGTCTCCTTAGTCGTAATAGCTAGGCGGTAGACGTACGTCCTATAGCTAGCTAAGGTTAAGGTTAAGGTTAAGGTGCTCGCAGTAGCCGTAGAGATAGACAATCTACTATAGGTTCTTCTAGTAGCGCTAGAGGTAGCGCTAGAGGTAACGCTAATACGGTTATATAGGATGCTAGCTATCGCGATAAGCGTAGTCCTTCCGGCACTCTAGGAGGTCGACGTAGTATACCTCGTATTAATCCCTAGATTGAGGCTAACTATTAGCGATCTGAGTAGTTGCTAAGTACTGTATCTCGTACTACAGAAGAGACTAGGGGCAGGGTGCTCCGGCGTAAGCGTAGGCTATTAGAGGCTAGTCGGCGTATAATAGGTAGCTCTCTAGGTAGGCGTTAATCGTTAATCGGATATAGGAGAAAGGAAGGGACTGCTTAGAGATTAATAGCTCGCTATAGAAGGAAGAATACTCTAGAATTATAGACGTTTTAGTCGTATTTGCGCTGCCGATCCTCTTCCTCGTAAATCATCTTAAGCACATAGCTAGCATAGCCTCTAGTGCTAGCATAGCCTCTAGTGCTAGCATAGCCTCTAGTGCTAGCATAGCCTCTAGTGCTAGCATAGCCTCTAGTGCTAGCATAGCCTCTAGTGCTAGCATAGCCTCTAGTACTAGTATAGCCTTAGGTACTTACCTAGTAGTCGGCGGCTATTGCCTTAAAAGTGCGGTAATGTATAGCCGTTATTATTGCCTTGCTATTATAGCGTAAATAGCGCAATCTTATTAGTAGAGGCCGACCTTACCTATAAGGCGTATATAGACACCCGCTTTCTAACCTTAACTTCTTTTTCTTCTTCTTCTTCTTCGTCTTCTTCTATATATATATACTAATACACTAATACCCCTAGCAATATACTAGCTGTCGGCGTATATAACAGTGTCGATACCTCTTTGTCGTATATAGGTAGCTCTATAGCGATTAACACCATTCCTTGCTAGTTCTGCGGCTTGCTACCGATAGAGCCGCTTGTCTAATAGTTGAGGTTCCTCGATCGGTAGAGTTTATTTAGTCCTTCTTTCAAGGTCTCCGATAGGCTTTACCGAGCAAGACGTTGCGAAGGCGACTCTCCTAGCGAGTAGATGCTCCTAGCGAGTAGGTGCTCCTAGCGAGTAGGTATACTATAGCTTTAGCGGGCGTCGACTACGTATTTAACCGAAAGAGCATAGTTTTGTTAGAACATCGCAGTCTTAGTGCAAACTGCAGAGGTCTTAGATAGATTAGCGGAGGTAAAAACTCTTTAGTAAGGTACACCTATAATGCGGCTAACGGTCTAACTCGGTAAAAACTCTTTAGTAAGGTATACCTTAAGTAGCGGCTCGATAGCGACTCTCCTACTAAGTAGGTTAATAGGTTCGT